GGATCAATGACTTGATTGTCCTTGAATAAAATATGCCCATCTTCAAAACATGAGAATTATTGACTTTGGGCAAGGAATGGCAAGTCCAAAGGAACTTATAAAAATGACGTGGTGGTGATGGTGGGTTAGGGTTGGGGTGATGCATAGAGATTATATTTGCCCTCCTTAAGGAGCAGTCTACTTGGGTAAGTAAGATACAGTGAAAAGTTATGGAAGAGTTAGGTGCTAAATTATATGTGTTCCTACCACTTGTTTCAAAAAGGGTTTACTGTGGAGACTAAACTAGAGAACAGGTGTAGTGCAGTAGGAGTTGAGAGGAAGGACTTCTGGCTTCCCAGAGGTGAGACCTGCAACTTGAATGTTGAATAGGATTTGCATAGGATAAGAGGAATGGGGAAGGAAAACTTTCCTGGTAAGAGAAGCAACACAGGTAAGCATTCAGAGACCTATTAAATTAGCTAGCCTTAGAGCTTTCCATTGAGCAATAATAGGTAAGGAAGAGGTGAGTTGGGGCTTTAATGATAGCACTTACAGGTAAAAATTGCAGTACTACTTAATGATAGTATATCCTTAAATGACTGGGATGATCTAAGGCCTTTGGCTCTTCCCCCTTTAGAGACAAACTTTATATCTTGCTCCATGGTTACCCTGTATTCTAAAATTAAGGAATCTCTCCAGCCATTTGAATACCTTCTTCATGCCGAGTGTATCATAAGAAACACAGTGCCTTCGTGCAAAACAGGTCTCTGTCTGGTTTGGGGAGATAACAAAAAAGTTAACCTTAAACATTGAACGCGTATATTTGCTGCATTTGTATATTTGGTTTCAAAATATCAAGTTTAACATCTTAGTATTTTATTTTCTAAACAGTAAACACAATGCTTACAAAAGAATTCTGAAAGCCAATTTGTTTCTGTACATAGAAGGCATGGGAAAAATAGGTAGCTTACTTAATACAACCTGTGATGATAGAAGCCACGTCCAAAGCCTGACTTTTCTCATCCAGATTATGGCTTGCCTAGCCCCAGGTGGACCCAGCCAGACTCTTGAGATGCAAGAAACTTTGAAAATGTTTGTCCATCGGTATTGTTTTAACTTGTAAACTAACTCCACCAAAGACCAATAATAGAGAAGATGACAGGCTTTCCATACACTGGAAACGAGGAAAACAATCAAAAACCACTGATTATCTGTTCAGATAAGTTTTTATTAAAGCAAGGGAGGTAAGTCTCATTTTTAGCTGCAGCTGTGTGTGCAGAATTATGAATGACAAATAGTTGTCATTCAGGTTGAGTTTCCCAAAAGCAGAATGAGCCGGGAACATACCACCTCTTTTCTCGTGGAATATAACTGAATGACTGGTAGGGAAAGGCTTGATTCTGAGTTTACTTGAAATATTTGATGCTGCATGGCTGCTAATGAGGTAAGTGCAATGAGGTGAAGAGGGCTGACTCCAGCTCTTCAGCATATCAGTCATAAGATTGTAATCCTCACACCTCCACTTGAATTGAAGGGCATCACTACTTACAAAACCAAAATGGATTTTAAAAATACTGAATTTAGTACTCAATGTGTCACGTACCTAAAGCTTTACAAATGTTTTTTTCTTAAATATTACACTTTACTTGGCAAAGTGTAATTTTTAAAAATTGCATCACAATTTTTAGGTGCCCTTCTAACCTAGAGGCAGGGGATGGCCTAGTAGACCTTCATAGCTTTGAACCCAAGGAATCTGAATATTTTTAGTCCGTGTTCTAAGTTTCCTGTTTTTATTTACATAGGATCCAATTTCTTTTTCCTTCCAAGATGGAAAGAAGCTGATCATATGCCTTGGGTAATATTAATGCTAAAAGCATTTCTCCTTGGTTTCTGGGGTGACTTTGTTTGCCACCCATAGGGTGCCTAGTGACGGGGCTGTGACTCATCACCAGGGGGAACACATGAATCACAGGATGCAGCCAGGTGAGCACACCTCATGGCCAATACTTCCTTCCCACTTTCTCCCCCCTTTCAGTTTCCTGGTATGCTTTTGAAGTGAAATCCCAAATGGTCAGCTTTAAGAGCCTTGTAACAGTAATTTTCATTACACCATGGATCTCACTCCCTCCAGTGGCTCCAAGTAGTTGGCAACATACTTGTGTTTTATTTACTCTAATGCTTAATGCAGGGTATTGCATTTCACAGAAGCCCCTGGTGAGGTGAAACTGCCTTCTAATTGCTATCACAGCTTTTGACTTGGAATTGGACTTTCCCCAGGAAACCTTTTTGATCTTCTTTTAAGCATTTTCCCTCCTGCCGACAAGGATATTCAGTAGTGCTCTATTTATGGGTTTTTGATGCCTGTGTTCAAACGTGTGATACCTGTTGATTTTGCTTATTGGTTTGTTTTCCTTTACTCAACAAAGTCAGAGAATTGTAGATCTGTAAGAGTCTTAGAAATCACCCAGACCAACTTGCTTATTTTACAGGTGAGGAAACAGTCCGTGAGTGAAGTACTTACCCAAGACCAAAAAGACAGTCGGGTCTAGTGCTTCGGCTTCCTCTCAGCTCAATAATTAGATTTGATTTTGAGACAAATGCAGTGAGTTGCTATTCTCTTGGTGCAGTATGCCTTGCCAGGGCTTCTCAAGGGGGTTTGCGGGGGGACTTGTGGCATGAGATATCAAAAACATGGTATGGACCATAGTGACATTTGTGAATATCGTGTATCGGGTTACCAGTCACTTCCTCCCAGCTTGTATGATCTGCTGGCAATGCTGAAAATAATTTGTAGTTATTTTTTTAAATGGCTCCCAAAATAACAATTGTTCCTTTTTATGTTCAAATGGTAGGGAGGTATGATTGGTATAAAAGATGAAAATTTGAGATCTGCTAATTGAGTCTTTTTCTTCAATGTTGCAGTGTCTGAATTCTAGAAAACAGTTGAACAGTATATTGAGCACCTGCTGTGCTCAGTGCTGTAGGGCATTCAGAGTTTTTATTAGACTTAACACCCTCCTCTGACCAACTTGAGACTTAATTTGGAAAATCTCTAACCCTCAAACCTCTAATTTGGAAAACCTCTAAGCCCCAGAATATGCGTTATATGGAGTCTTAGTATTTCTCAGAAATGAATTTCTAGGAAAGATCTCTTTTTTGCTTACCATCCCTGTCATGATCACCACTGGCCAGTGCTTCTCCTTGAGACAATGAGAGTGAGTTTTCACTTGGGGACCAATCCTTTCAGTTCAAAAATTACTGTATTGATGAGGTGTAGCTTAATAATGCTAAAGATTTAGTTTAAGCTAGGCCTTATGAGGGCAAGCCCTATTTTCCCAGCATGGTACCTGACATCAGAGTCTAATCACTGGTGTACAAAAAGTTATAATTTAAAACATTAACATTTATTTCTTACGACATTTCATTTCAGAAGTATTTAAATCAGCAGATACTCCTTTGTGTGGTGGTTGGGGAGAAACTCTGTACTGTGCAAGACTGAGAATGCTGTGGGGTGGTTCTCTGCCTCAGTGACTGTCCAGATCACTTTCTTCTTGTGAAGTGCTGTCGAGTCACTTCCGACTCATAGGGACCTCATGTACAGCAGAACAAAACACTGCCTGGTCCTGTGCCATCCTCACAATCGTTGCTATGTTTGAGCCCATTGTTGAGCCACTGTGGCAGTCCATCTCACTGAGGGTCTTCCCCTTTTTGCTGACCCTTTACTATAGCAAGCATGATGTTCTTCCCCAGGGACAGGGCCCTCCTGATAACATGTCCAAAGTAAGTGAGACGAAGTCTCTCCATCCCTGCTTCTAAGGAGTGTTCTGGCTGTTCTTCCAAGACAGATGACTTTGTTAGGGCTCAGAATATTAAGCTCTAGGTGTAATCATCTGGTATTTAAAGGTATTTGATGACGATTGCGCATTAGAAGATAAACAGGCATTTCCTTTTTTGCTCCTAAGGAGCAGAATTTTTAAGAGGTGTAAAGAATTCTGCCCCTTTTGGTTTTACTCTTCATATCAGATGGATAGTTTACAATTTTAATGTTGGAGTTATAACAGTGCTTTTTTTCTTCTATATCCATGATGTGACTGCCAATCAGAGACTTCCAGAGAATAAAAGTTGAAATCATTCAGTAAATATTACCATTTATTTTATTCCTAGTATCCACTCAATGTCCAAAGCTTTTTTCTATTTTTCAAAAGATTACTAGAAATGCAAATTTAATAACAACCAGAAATAAGTATATCTTGAAATGCGTATGTGATACTGTGGATTACAAGTGCATAAGCCTGCTTAGCTGAGAACTTACAGTATGTCTGCTAGGAATGGGTTGGGAAACAGGTACTATAATTTGGTAGGATAGCTTGATATATACAAATCTTGCAGTAGTTTTATTTTTAATAGGTCACCACCTCTATTAAAACATACGTATTTTTATGTTTGATGGAGATGTAATATCTTGTGCTAGTGAATGTGCACAGATTCTAGAATTAAAGCTGCATGAAAATAAAACCACAGACTGGATCCAATGCCTTTTTTTTCCAGGATGGTACCATTAGATTGATTTTTCACAGTGAATTTGTCAAGCATTGATTTTTCACAATGAATTTGTCAAGCATTGCCAGCCCCTGACAATGATTTTGATAGTATATAATCACTAGAAAAAGATATATGTCAATTGTGCTTATTTAAATCACTAATGTGCCATAAGGGGTGGGGTGGGTGAGCTGCTTATTTCTGTAGCAGAGATACATTTGACTTTCATACGATTTTTTCCTCTTTTCCTTCTGGAAGGCTAAGTACAGGTCCTGATAATGCAATTGATAAAATGAGATCATTTTTTTCCTTCTGCTCCAGAAATACGGTTGCTATAGTAGATGATGGTGATTATCTAGGAACGTGTGATTACCTTTTAGCTTCAAAACCAGAGAAGTACAAGTTTGTTGCTTTTGAGTGGAGTGACAGCTGTTTGCCAAAATTCCAAGCTCACGTTCCCCTCTTGAATTCTATGCTTTCAGGTGTGGCAGACGAAGACGCCTTTGCAGAAGAATGCAGGCGAAGAGGACAAAATGCCCTGCCCTCTCAGCCAGCTGGTGTCCGCTCGCTGAAGTCTCACAGACCTGCCACCTTACCCAAACATGGCTCTCACTATATTTGTGAGGACGATGATGAGCAAGATAGACCTCGGGTCACCAGCAGCTGGGATCCCTCCGTTTTTTCAGCAGGTGTGCAAAGGGAAACTAACGTGGAGCATACAAAAAGTGATACTTCCCTTAATTCACAAGGAAAAAGAGGACAGAAAGCATCCCTGTGCTGTTGTGTTCTGACCTGAGCAGGGTGAGATCGGGGGGATGTTGTGGGGGAAGAGCAGGTCAAAGGCTGGTTAGAACAAGACTGGGTAGGAAGTTTGTATGCTCTTGCTCACCCATCTCCAGGATATCCTTGAAGTAATCTTTAACCTCAGTGGCTCAAAGCTTCCCCCACAATTAAAATAGGGTCACAGTCTTCTTTGTGTATGAACTGTATTGTTGTCCTGGGCAAAGGTGCTGATTTTACCTTAAATGCTCCCAGATTCTGCATTTTATAACTTTCAATTTAGTGCTTAAGATCACTGTAACTTACCCCTGACACATGCCCCAGAGGCCAGTCATGGGCAGAGGATGAAAAACAGGTGAAGTTGTGCACTGCAGATTAGTAAGTAAGCACAGGTAAGCCCATGCCTGCCTACCTTACTGAGTAATCTGTCCCTGCCAATCACCACCTCTTGACGACTTATCTAAGAGAGTGCATGCAAGTGGACAAGGATTCTTCGTAAGATGTAGCCTGGGACTAGGCTATCAGTAGAAAGCTTATACATAACTAATGGACAGTTTGTGGAATCTCAGTGTCAAAATGATTTGTATTTGTTTTCTACCCTTCCCACCCTTAGGTGTTCAATTTTATTTTCTTGTGCCTTCATTTGTGTTTGATTCAAAACAGAGCAAAAAACCAGAGTCAGATCTGATTGAAAAAGTTTGATTTGTGCCGATGCACTATGCAGTCGAAGCATAAATGAAGTTTAAACCTTGAGTCTCCTTCCAGCTCTGGCAGGTGCTGATGACCCCATGTATCTACAGCCTGGGCTCTGCCCTCTTCCAGGTGCTGGACTCTCGATTTCTTACAGAGCCTGTGCAGTGATTTCTCCATAGTCAATGCTGGATTATCTTTTAGGGTGTCACTGTGCATTTAGGTTTGAACATGACTGAGCTCTAAAGCCAAATATAAATTTTTCTGGAATTATTCATTAGTTTGAAGTACCCATTCCCATTGCTTTAAGTAGCATAGTTGGCCATATCAGATTATGTTTGGAGAAACGTGTTGATACTTGATGCTTACTTTTAGGTATACGTAATGAGGTTAATTCTGTGGATTTAGGGCAAAACGGTATTGTCTAAGCAGAAAATTAAAAGAATGAGGGTTTGTTTCTTCTCCTGGGACTTTTTATTGGAAAATCAGTAATTGCAGTGGTCTGCTGTGCTGCACATTGTCCCCACCTGAAGGTGTGTTGTTTTCCGATGGCGGACAGGCAGCCACCTGCAGTGCTGCTGCAGATACCGCTGGGCTCTCTGGTGGAGATGTGGCAGCGAAAACAGACGGATGATTTGGAGACAGTAGCCTTTTCCTGTGTAACTGAATGAGCAATAGAGGTGTGTGTGAATGCAGAGTGAATTTCCTTCTGCACTAAATGGGCTTGAGGAAGTTTTCCCAGGAGTGATTGTCGGCTCTGGGTACTGAGTGGTTTGAGGGTGGGTTGGGGAAGAGGTGATGCTATATTAAGGGGTCTTAGCAAGGAAAAGGATAGAGCAGGGTGGTAGATTTAGTGTCCTTGAACAAATGCCATTTGAGTCTTTATTTAAAAGGCTGAGTCCATTTAGTTTGGAAGGGCACTGTAACCTGGCATACTATGTCATAATTTCTCCTGCCCCAAAAGAGGGTGTGCAGGTACTGGCCTGCCTGGATCAGCCTTGTTTAAATGTCTAGGAAGCCTACTGGAACAGTAAGAGTAAACATTACAAGCAGACAGGGCTGCAAAGGGCATAGGGTTATTTCAAAAGTGGGCACGGGCTTCTCAGCTGTAGGCACTTATCTGTATAGATTCCCAAAGCCTGTGCCTGTTGAATGAAGGAGACTTGCTGCCACAGCTGGGGATTTGGGGAAAGTAGGCATTAGTAATGACAACAGAAAAAGGAATCATTCCCCCTCAAAGCTAGTTGTTTTGTCATTTTTTTTTTCACCTGGTCGCTTACTACATATTTTTTTCAAGTAGGGAAAACTAGTTAACTTGGGAATCCCAACTCAAATCCTTATACACAAAAGCCGAGTAATGCACTTATTTTTCCCAGACTCTTCACTTGGCTGTAGGTACGGTTGACGTTCACCTTGTATTCCTGGATCTTTAGTCCTTCTCCATGCAACTGGAGGCGGTCTCTCTTTTTTGGTGTTTGTTTCCTTTTCTCAATCATGTTGTGAGGCCTTGAAGAGAGTGTTAAGGTAAAAGCATCAAGTTAGAAACATAATTTTCATACAGACATATAGTGAGTATGAGTCAAAGGTTTCTATTTAACTCACTGAGAATGACAAAGCTACTTCAAAGGAAGATTCAAGAAACTGATAAAAGAGTAGGAAAAAAAATGTTGGGTAAAATTGCAAGATTACATACTTTAAACTGATTAATGCCTCACAGAGCAATAATACCATACATAACCTTTGAGGTTATCTTTTACCACACAAAAATCATTCATACCTTATTAATCCAACTTCCCATCTGGGTGCTAATTGATAGTAAAGAATAGGTTGAACAAAGTTCCATTCCCTCTTGGAGACTCATACTGAGACTTTGCTGAAATCCCCCTGTCATGGAAAACAGGTATGGTTGATCACCCTAGCCTTAGATGACCCGTAGGCAGGCTTTTCTCTGCTCTAGTGTGACCTTGAAAGGTCATGCAATAATCTTTTTGCCTTATTTCCAAGTTTTGGATAATTTTTCTTAAAAAGAAAGATGTAGTAGGGAACTTAGTTACCCCAGAAGTGTTGGGTAGCCGTGCTTCACCCATCAGACCAATCACCAGACTGTAAGAGGGCTCTGTCTGACGTCAGCACTCATGAAGCTCCTTTCTGCTTGTTGAGTTATAATGAGGTATGGACACACACTGTCCTGGTAGTTTCTAGAAGTGATTTTTCTGGCTAAAAATTAGCTCTCACTTAAAGTGCACTACTTAACAATATTGACTACATTGCTTATGTGAGAATGTCGCATATTTGCTGTCCGAGATAAAAGTGAGTGGTAATTTTATTTTCAGCTAGAGCGAGTTTATTGTTCAGGTAACTTGGTGGTGGAATGAAAATGTAATGCAGATTTGACTTGCTGGTATCTGCCATTTTGTTGAATGTGCTATTACATTAAATTACTAACCTTCTTTAAAACTTGCTATGTTTTATTTTAGAGGGTGGAGGCAATTGTATTGCATATTGGGTGTCACTTGAAACCAGAAAATCATGAAGTAAAATTTGGAAAAAGGATTACAATATTTTTCATTTATGAATTCTACACATATTGTAGGTCCATCAAAAACATGTAACCATTAAAAAGGCATTAAAAAGGAGAATAAAATTATTCAACATGAAAAAATTCATGAATGAAAGAATGAAATTGATCCTTTAACTTTTTTTTTTTTAAATTTGAAGAAAGCACAACTTACCCAGGAATGCTGTAGAATGTTTCTCTTTTTCTAAACACAGCATGGAACTCAGGGAACTAATGATTGGTGTTTAACCCTGAGTTTAGCTTTTGAGCGCTTGAAGTTTGTCTTTTTAATGAAACTAATTTATGTCTTTATATACTATTTCTTTGTTAAGAGTTTTCAGCAGTTTTTTAGAAGTATGTTTCTCTGAAGGCCCTTAAAAAGACAGTCATTGGTGTGAGAACTTTGTTAAAATAAGTATGAAGTAAACTTTAACAGTTCTAGTGAAGGTCTAATCACTGTTTAATAAATTCTGGACAAGTGAGAAGGAGGCAGTGGACAGAGCCATCTCTGTGCGTTATTTCCCTGGGTGGCGCACATGTTTAAGCGCTCGACTGCTAGACAAAATGTTGGCAGTTCAAACCTACCCAGAGGTGCCTTAGAAGACAGGCTTGGCAATCTGCTTCTAAAAGTTCACAGACTTGTAAACCCTATAGTTTTACTCTGCACACATGAGGTTCCATAAGTCAGAATCTACTCCATGGCAACTAACAACAACAACAAGAAGTTCAGGTGAAAGAATGATTTTTTTTTTCCCCTTTTTAACTTAAATTTAAAAAATTTTTAATTATATACCAAAGTAATTCTACTACATAATAATATACTAAAGTAATGGACCCATGTGCCCACCACCCACTTAACAATTACCAGCTCTTGATCAGTCCTGTTTTATTTGCACTCTTAACTCAATGCCCCCAACTTCATATTATTTTGAAGGAAATTCCAGACAACATGTCATTTTATCTGTAATACTGGGATATTTGCTTCTAAAGATAAGGATGCATTTTGAATCATAACCACAACACTACTATCTTACTATTTTTTCAATTGTGTTAAAATTGCCAATGCAACGTTTTTTACATGTACAATTCAGTGCGACTAGTTACATTGATCATGTTGTGCAACCTTCACCAATATATCTTACTAATTTTGAAATTAAAAATACCTTAACATCAGAAAGGATGATTTTTTTTTTTTTTTATTAAGCACATATTCCTTTGTTTCGGGCTGGGGACCTTGCTTAGGGTTGGTTTTGCTGAATATTAGGTATACAAAATAACCATATCTTTGGGCAGGAAATCAGATATGCTTTGGTTTTGAACTTAATGCACCTCAAGGTTTACGAGGACATACTGTGGCATGAGCTGTGTGTTAAGGCAGAGTTTCCAGAAAGACCTGGTTTGAGGAAAGGAAAGCTTGCATTGTGCGCTGGCTGTTTCTGGCACTCTTTTCTGTGGCCACGTCTCCTTACAGTTAATTCCTACGCTGTCAATCACTTACTTTGCATTTCGCCACCTAGCTTTCTTTCTGTGACTAGGATGCCCCAGACTTGCTTGGTTAAGGAGCCCCTTCCTTTGGAGTGTGTAGTTAAGGAATTGGTATATGTTAATTAGCTACAGAGGTCAGGTATACAGTAGGAATTGGAGAATCAGTTTTAAACCAAAAGACAACTCAGGTTTATCTCTTTTAGAGTACTTATATTCTTGGTCTCTTCCATTTACCCAGATAATTAAGCTTATCTTCATTTCATTCCTTTCAATTTGAGACCTTTACTAAAAATACAATTTATATATTGAGTGTGTTTGAATTAGACAAGAACAGAGATGTTTCTGTTAAACTTCTGGTTTTTTTCTTTAGTTTTTGTTTTTTATAAGATTTTGAAGGGCCTTTGCCAACTAAATACAGAGTGGGCCCTAGAGATAAATTAAAACTTCTTTTTCTCAGTTCAACTCCAAGCGTTTACTTCCATAGTGACAAGAGAATTCTGGTCACTTAGAGGTACTTGGGAACCCTGGTGGCATAGTGGTTAAGAGCTCAGCTGCTTATCAAAAGGTCGGCAGTTCAAATCTACGAGCTGCTCCTGGGAAACCCTATGGAGCAGTTCTGCTCTGTCCTGTAGGGTCGCTATGAGTTGGAAATGATTCAGTGGCAATGGGTTTGGTGGTATTTTTTTTTTTTTAAAGAGGTACTTGATCAAGGTGTTGCTATGTGTACTAAAGCTATGTGAAATAGTTAATTCTTTGAAAGAAAGAAAAAAACAAAAGCCAAAAACCTTAATGGAAAGGGATAATTTAAAGTCTGCATCTTTCTTGCCTGAGTCTATTTTGAGTGGTGCCTGGTAAGTTTAAGGGTCCACTTAAACAAATGGTGAACATCCAGGATGCTCAGGAGAACATCCAGAACATTTCATGTCTTCCTTCCAGCCTATTGGTCTGTGTGCCTGTGTGTAGCTGGGGCGGGGTTAACGACAGGCACACCTGCCATTCCCGTAGACCGGGCACCTCTTGGATAGGCTTGTTCAGCTGTGGCTGTCAAGTGTGCACCAGTTCATAGGCCCTGAAATTTTGTCATTTGTGCTGAAAATCCTTTAGTTTGTCTGAAGTTATTTTCTGTGGTCTTAAAATTCAAAATACCTTCTATGAGAAGTAGCATAATAATAAAAAAACATACTGAGGAATTAACTCCTCAGCTTCTCTATGTCGTGGCCGTCAGGTGGTGTCCTGGGTGGACTGCGCTAAAATCCAATTTTCTTGATAGGTGCTCTCTGGTAAATTACTTTGGTCTCTGGCCCTCATATTCCAGAACTATACACCGAAGGGGCTCTGAGGTCCCGTCCATCAAATGTCAGGATTTTATGACAGGAGAAAGGGGGTGCATGTGCTCGAGTGGAGGCCAGAGTCCCCTAAAGATGGATGTTCTATGGTCCAGTCTCTCCTTGTCATGGAGAAGAACATCCCTGCTGCTGCCCAAGGCCCTCGCCTCCCCCAGGAGGTCTCCCCACCTTCAGTTCTGCCCCCATTTCCCTCGTCAGTTTTCCAGGAGAGGGTTTTTCGGGACCATTTTCTGGTCTGTTTGCTCCTGTCACCAAGCTTTCCCACCCCGTGGTGATCATTGAGTTTGAATGTGACAGCTGAGTAAAATGACTGGCATGTCATACATCTTGGTCCCAAGGTCGATGCAGGGAGTGTAGGTAGAAAGCAGTTTAATTTTCTTACTTCGTCTTAGATTGACTTCCTGAGCCTCAGGAAAGTAAATGGAGTCACAGATCAATCAGTTAGTGGTATGTTAGTCGGATTTTTCCGGTTTCTTTTTGTTTTGTTTTTTGTATAGGTAAATGTAATTGAGTCTGCTGGGAGGAAGAGTGGCCCCCTCATCTCCCTGTGTGGGAACCTTAAAAAACTGCCACTGCGATGAGTCAGAGCCAGGAAGCCACTGTGGTTTGATATCTCCATTTCTTACCTCCTACTTCTTGACATCAGCCCCATAATCGATTCAGTTTCCAAATAACTACCCGTGAGGGCTTTTTAATTTAATTCACTGTTAATGTTAATGGAGTCATCAATGTCCTTAGCTTGCCATTGTTTATAAACTTCTTCCCTGCTTTGAAAACCACTTACCTTCACTTGCATGACTCAGAGCTGAACTTGGGAACTAATTACAGAAGCAATTCATTCTGGAGGTTTTCTCCACTAAAGACCCATCTGGGACCAAACATGGATTTTCCTTGATGTCACCCCCCATTTGTATCTACTATCTTTTAATGAAGGAGCCCTGGTGGGACAGTGGTTAAGGCACTAGACTGCTAACTGAAAGGCCCGCGGTTCGAAACCAGCAGTGGCTCCTTGGGTAAAAGATGTGGCAGTCTGTTTCCATAGAGATTTGCAGCCTTAGAAACCCTGTGGGGTCACTATGACCGGGTGGGTCTTCTAATCTGTGGAAGTAGCTTTGGCTTGAGCACCTGAAGCCTTTGTAGGTAGTTTTTGTTGTGGTTTAGTCACATACGAGACAAGCATGTAAAACTCAGGAAGATGGTTCCTCAGGGTCCCTTCCAGGCCTAGGATATGGAGGGCCCAGATTACACGGACACGCACCAGTCTCTGTCCTGTCACACAGTGTCAAGGTTAAAATTGTTCTGTGTTTGCTACCTGGAAGGGTGTTATTGCTTGACCTTTCTTCCCTTCTGTTGTTTCCTGGCATCACCACGTTTTCCAAAGTCTTTTTGGCTCCAGGTTCTATACTAGAATCAGTTGCAGGAAGCTTCCAGAGAGTGGGGTGAACAACCAGAAATTGGGTCCTTTGAACATCCAAAGTTTTTATGGGCCAGCTTTTGTATTATAGGGTTTGGAAGAGTTACTAGGAAAACAGGATAAGCAAAAAAGAGCTACTTTTCCCCAGTCTATCATGGATACTTGCTTCAAGTCAAGATACTCTCCTTTCCCAGGGACATTAAGATCAGAAAGTAGCTTAGAACATTGCTTTTCAACTTTTATCTTGGTTATAAAAGTAGGGGTCCTTGTTGCTGCCACCACCTTCCTAAGCCAGCACTGTGCTAATGTTCAATCCTTACTTAACTGGATGAGGTCAGATTGCCCCCTGGGGCTGGGGCCTTGGAACAGGGGCCCTCAGTAGGCTTTTGCCCACAGCTAAACCATTCTGTGTTGCATTGGCATTGGCTTAGCTTAGCAATTTGTCTTCTTTTCCTTTCAAAACTTTGAGGCAACTTTCTTAAACATACGGCACTGAATGGTTTAGTATTTTACAGGGTATATATCCTATTATGCTGTTCTGATAGGGTGGTTAAGACACAAAAATTGCCTGGAAGCCTGAGAAAAGTAGCAGCCTCACATGTGCACACTTTGTAGATAAGTGTAGTGAATGGTTGGTGGGGACTAGTGAGTGTGGAGTAGATCTTCATCCAATGACATGAGACCTTGAGGGAGGCCACCAGAAGCCTTGTGTTTATTTGAGGCACTTGGAGTAACCATCAAAGCCGGACAGTGGTGCAGTTGTTTCTGAGTAAAGAGCTCTGAATAGGGCTGTATGAAAGGGTCTGAGTGTGTATTTCATTGCAGTCCCATAACACAAGTCAACCATACTCAGCAGACTTTCACCTTGTAACAAAGGCAGGTGCCCTTGTTTATTAACATGATGCTCATTAGCCAAGCATGGGACATATGTCGTGATTGAGTTATAGGTTGACTGTATGCATTGGGGCCTACAAAGCACAACCCATCTCATTAAAACAAGAAATCTCCATCTACCTAGTGATCGAGATTCTACGGTAAGGTGAGTTCCTAGATGGGGTGAATGAACAGTCATTCCTAGTTAATGGAAAGTCTAATAATAGACTGTTCATCTGAGTTCTGCCTGGATAGTAGACAGCAGATGATTATGCTCCAAGTATCTTCTTACAAGACAGTAACTCTATAATTTAAAAATTTGAGAATGCTTGAACATGATCTTTTCAGCAGACGTGGGGACTATGTGTATTAAATCATAGGCTTTCGGTGACCCTCTCCTGGTGTTGTAATGTGTGTTTCAATCAAGACATTTAAATTGGGCTCCAGTTCTTTCCTTATCCACATTAAACATAGGCCGATTTCCTGTGCTTGATTGCGCAGCTCCACCACTCACATCAGACTATACTGATGGAGGGAAAAAGAAAAAAAAAGTCTAAGTCAGTTGCTGTAGACTTGAGGTCAGAGTTCTTTATTTCTGGCTCTTTGGACAGAATCTTCAGAGAGTGAGTGTGCACATACATCTTTCTTTCTTGGCTTCAGCCAGATAAGTCAGGCATGCACTTGTTGACTTTAAGCACATAATACAGGGAAAATGGAAGGTTGTAGCCATCGAATAAGAAATGCAAAACTTTCTCACGTGGAACCCTGCGGAACCTGTGGATAGGATATGAGCCTAATCCACAGCGAGGCTTCTGCCTGCAGAGAGGAATCTGTGGCCTAGCTAGTCATGGAGGAAGCCAGTGAGGTGCTCTCAAATCCTGCCAGCAGGGGTAGAAACAGCTTTGCCATCGACTAGGCTGCTAAGGAGGTTTTTTGTGCATTTTAAAGGTAGGACGAAGGATGTAGAGTCTGAGGGCTGAAATGAAGACTTCATTAGTAGTGAACAGAGTTGGCTTCTTAAACCTTGCTACTTGGTGATGAAAGAAGCTATTCCTCAAATGAGTAGTTGTGTTCTCTCATTACAGAAAGTAAGACTGGTTTTGAAGTTCTTTGAATAGTTTAAAGGCTTTTGATGTGCAATTTGAAAAGTCAATTCATGTTTTAATTTAGGTTTAGATGTGGAAAAGATAAAAGTGAAGATACAAGACTTTGTTTTGTTGCTTTTTTTTTTAACATGGGGAAATATTTAGAAAACACGTTTGCCTCTTAATGGGGAAACAGTTACTATTCTGTACAGTGTTTTACAAGCCATGTTTTCTTAGGATTCAAAGAAGGTGGCAAGAGGAAGAAGCAGAAGCAGAGAGAGGAGCAGAAGAAGAAGAAGTCGACCAAAGGGAACCACTAGCCTGGACTTCCCAGACACACGCACACTTTTGCACCAGATGCTCATGCAACATTGAGCACAATCCTGTGTTCTGCGTGTGTCTTGGTTTTACACACTTGTTAGGTAGAAGACAGCTTGTTGGGTGTTATACCAAGATCACACCTATTTGTAACAGGACTATGGACATTTGATCACTGCTTAGTCAGATTAGGGAAGTCAGAGGTGAGGTGATGGTAATGGTTAGCAATGATAGACATTTGGAACATACCATAGACTTTCTTACTTTGCTTTTCCCCAGCACTAAATCTTTTAGTGCTTTCTTCTAGAGTTGTTAAGGATCTAAATCACTTTTCCCAAAGGTCTATCTCGTTCTTTTCAACGAGTCAACCACTATACAAACTACTGAAATATTATGGGCTTTATGTGTATAAGATGATACAGACAGGTATTAAGTATATATCCAGGAGATGACTTTTTCCCCCCATGTCAGTGGAGTATTTGAAATTAGAATGTA